AGTGGTACTCCAAGTCAGGACAACAGGTGGTCATCAGGTGCGACTTGAGCCGGGAGTCATCAGAAGTGGGCACACACACCACCATTCCACCGGACGTCCTACCCACGTCACTTGTGCCAGACATCACCATACAAGACCCGGTACAGAAAACACTGACTCTGGTTGAACTCACTGTCCCCTTCGAACAGAATGTTCACAATGCCGAGGACAGGAAAAGGGCAAAATATGAATCTTTGTTAGACGAAATCCATACTCATACGAGTTACAAAGTTACCCTTGTTACAATTGAAATCGGTAGCAGGGGGTGGGTAAGCAACAAGAACACCTCCAAGTTAAAATCACTGTGTCCTGGTAGCCACAAAGACCGTGAAGCACATCACCTGAAAAACAGGCTAGGAAAAAGTGCTATCTGCACTTCATATGTGATCTACTGTGCCAGAAATACAGTGGGCTGGGAAACTCCCTCAGGACTGTTCGCAAGTGGTTAATAGTGCAATAAGTATTTAGGTGCAATATGCTAGCATGCCATTGTCTAACTGTATTATACTTGTTAGAATTTTTAAGCATTGTTGAGGTTTAAACTGTCTGACGCACACCAACTATAAGTTTACCTTGCGCCCCCTGGGTAATTAAACCCAGAGAAGGGGTCGTCCTAGGCATTTTAACATATTCGTCTTGTGTAAGTTTGTCTCAAAATTGCAATAAAGATGATTTTAACCCCCCATTGACTAATATAATTATAATAGTCAATCTCAATTATGTAGGAACCCCAGTTATCCCCATGGGGTAAAGTAGGGGACAGTAGTAGTAGTACGTATAGCGCGGTCATACCGGTCTGCCTCTTTACCGGAAAACACCGGAAAGCACCGGAAAACACATATAGGTGACTTAAATCTACCAGAATACACCCTGCATTGAAGAGATGATCCCCCAAGTCACTATATTTTGGCATAAGATTAAACTTATATGTAGCCTAGGGAACAAGACTTAGTAATCACTAAATAATGAATCGGCGGAGGCAACCCCTCCAGTCGCCATGTTTGTTTACGTAGCGCAATGCAATATGTTTGTTAAGCGCGATCACTGGAATACACCCTGCATTGATTAGATAACATCCCAAGTCGCTGTATTTTGGCATAAGATAACTTATACATAGCCAAGGGAACAAGAAACCACTTAGATAATTAATCGCTGAATCGGCGGAGGCAACCCGGCCATGTATACCATGGCTGCATGCTATACGTAATGACGTATATATATATATACAGCAAAGTGCGATGTTGAAGTATATAAGAAATTTTAATTTAGGTGTATTTCACTGCCCTTCTGTGATCGCGCTTAACAAACATATTGCGTTGCGCTACGTAAACAAACATGGCGACTGGAGGGGTTGCCTCCGCCGACTCATTATTTAGTGATCACTTGTTCCCTAGGCTACATATAAGTTTAATTTTATGCCAAAATATAGTGACTTGGGGGATCATCTCATCAATGCAGGGTGTATTCTGGTAGATTTAAGTCACCTATGTGTGTTTTCCGGTGCTTTCCAGTATTTTCCAGTATAAATAAGATAGGCAGACCCTGTATAGCGATCAACAAGCCAAATTCATGATCAAGTAACTACATGTAATAATTTTCTTAATCCTTTGCTGACAAATGTTTGAAACATCGGTCTACAAAAATGTAAATACAGTAGGTAAATCAACATTCCTACAAAACGGCAATGAATTTCTAGTTTCCCCTTTGTTATAGTGTTGTATCCTGCTGACACAACTGTCAACAAGTGCCAGAATACCTTAATCTTATCTTAAGTATCGTTATAGCATCATCAACTGACTCTCAGACTAAAGCTGTTACGTAATAAGACCACCTACATTTGTATGTTGGATAGCAGTGGCAACTGTTGCTTCTCTTACTCGCTGTTTATACATACATGTAGCCGTATGTTGGACAGTTGAAGAATGAGGCCTTAAATTGAATACAAGCAAATGATATTCATCATGATTGCTGGTAAATTCCATCTGCAGGGTATGTAAGCTGTGGTACCAGGAGGCAAGTCGTATATTGCAGACCAGACAGGATGTGACGTGGACAATGACCGAAGATGACATGCCAGTGAAGGATGAACTGACAGAATGCTTTGAGGTAAACTAAATGTTGTATAGCTTTCTCCAACACCTTTAACCCAAGTCCTGTGTTTTTCATAATCTGGTATTTTCACCACTGGAGGGTGTCTTGCCTGGGGTCTAGAGTTGGGAAACTTCTGAAGGCACACATCTTTGTAAACTAAAGGTTGTGGTGGTCTCCTTATTAATATTACATGCCCAAACCACATTAAATTAAAGCTTGCTCTGGGAAACTGTAGTCTTGAACATGTTAATACTTGTGTTCCGTCAGGACTACTCCAGTGTTCCCAGGCTGGCTATCCTGTTCTGTGAGAGTTCCCTGTATGAAATGACATGGGAATCTGAAGACAGGCCCAGCAGCACAAGGAACAAGAGGAAGAAGAAGAAGGAGAGCAGCCTGATTGATAAAGTACAGGAGGCTCTGCCAGTGGGGTGCAATGTTGTGGGTGTGGCAGTGCCAGGAGTCGTATGTAAGGTACTTTTTTTTAATTATTAATTAAAAAATAAGAAAGTTAAATGAAGGCAAGGTCACATCAGTCATAGCTTGCCAAATGTACAGGGGAACATTTACAGACAAATATTATATACAATACAGCATATAAAATAATATTGCACAATGTTTCTCAAGTACCTGCACAGCTCCAAGTTTAGTTGCCTTTAAACTCCATAATTATGCAGGTGGTATTTCCAGCCCTGCTTATGCATTACATCATGTCCATTTTTGCACACATTGGCGATGGCCATAATACCCATATCTTTCCTCCCCACAGGTTGTTCTACAGACTTGTCAGTTATCACTGAGGTGGAGGACAACCCTGCCATGTCTGCCCTCTTCCTGCCTCACATGGATGAGGTGAAAGTTCAGCCCTTCTATGTCTCCAACGAGGAATGTATCCATGGGCAGTTCAATGAGGATGGAGAGAAGGTTTTACGTACAAAAGGTAAGCCATGGATGTACACATGTCATCTGTCCTGTTAACTGTCTCCCTGCTGACTAACCCTGTAACACATTTGTACATTTGGTGTCAAATATCCACCTTAGCATACTTAAAACACAATGTAGGCTAGTGTCTCCAAAGTACCAAGTTATGTTCTGGTATATTGAGGTCACACAAGCTGCTCAATTATAACTGCATGTCCTTATTGCTTCAGCCTTATCTATAGTATGTGGTAAACACTCACAATTCAGCTCTGCACTTCCACTGCAACTGAATGCAGTTGTATGTAGTCAGCCTGTCATCAATTTAATGTTTGTGTTGCAGGCTTGCTGCCAGACCCCCATCTGAAGGCTGTACTACTGCTGTCCTGTGGTCTGGGCTCTCCTGCCCTGCATGTGGTCTGTATGGAGCTGCTGAATGAGTACAAGGGAACATCATCATTGCTGGAGCCTACCCTGAGGAGGTCATTGCTCCACCAGAACTCACTCCGTAAGTGCTGTACACAGAGTGAGTTAGATCTCACACACCATGCGCTTGCATACTCAGCTCCTTGGGGTGCTGCTTTTCTATGCTTGGTGATGAGAATCAGTAGCCTAGGTGCCATCCGATTTGCTGTTACAAATCGGATGGCACCCAGACTAGAGAATCAGTAAATACAAATTGTTCCTCTATGTGCCTGGCAAGTGGAGCCATAAACACACAATGTATCAGTATGATTCATGTGACGTTTGCTGTAAAATCTTTGTGTCATTTTATAAAACCTTCAGGTTTTCGCTGTGCACCTTTGAGAATATTAAGAATAATACGATTTCCTTCGAAATTTTACTGATTCTCAGAGCACAGCGGAGGGACGGTCTGGTGGGAATCGCCATCTCCGGGGAGCGCGTGCAGGCAGCCTCCATCCTGCTGGACCACTCGGTACGCACGCCTGCCGACGCGCAGGAAGCCATGAAGCGGCTGAAAGCTGCCAACATCCCCCAGGAGAACAGTGTGTGCTTCATGTTTGCCTGCGTGGGGAGGGGCTACTACCACTACGGGAAAGGTAATGTGGAGACGGAGGCCTTCCATAAAGAGTTCCCTAACACTCCCATCGTTGGCTTTTTTGGGAATGGAGAAGTCGGTTGTGATCGGAACGTGCCCAAGAAATCAGCCGCTCCAGAGAAGAGGTGGAATTTCCATGGAGGGAAGGAGGGGGAGGATGAGAAGTATCCTGACCTGTTTCACGGGTACACAACAGTCCTGTGTTTGGTGTCCTTTGGGAGGAAAAAGTAGCTTAGGTCAGGCAACTAGATGTCAACTTTGTGGTCAAAACTTATTTTGTACAGGGTTATTGTAGCATCAATCCATTTCCAATATTTTTTGTCTTTGAAATACTGGCACATTAATATGAGTAAAGGCACATAAAGTTTTTATGTCATATACATTTGTAAACATTGTCAAGTACATTTACTTGACAAGAATCTGTCACCTACATGTACATGTAGTATCAGTAGGTTGGACCTTACAGACGTTGAACAAGACCCAGAGTGGTTAAGCATAAGTTAATGGGAGAAGTACATGACTGGTTTGATTGAACATACAGTATTATAAGACTATCACTACATGTAGGAAGGGGAATCATGTACATGTAGTAGGGCAAAAATTCAAAGACTCTGCAAAGGGAAACATATTAATTAACTGGTTGTATGATAAATTTAATATAATTGTGCCTGCTCTTTGTAAATACATCAAATAACATGGTACTAGTTTTAGGAAGTGAATAAAAGTTTGGGAGATTTCTGGTGCAACTACATGGAGTGTGTGGTGTCTGCATTCAACTCCTCAGTGTTACACAATCTCTCACTGTTAGGGCCTCCTCCCTAAGAGCTGGAACTCAACAGAAGCATTAACAATGCCAGAACTACCAATAGGAGCTCAGGATTGTCACTATAGAAACCAGTCATGGTAACAGTTGACTCAGTTCTCAGCTTGACAATAGTCTGTCCATGTTGACATACTAGTAGTATGCATAAATCAACTACAAGATTAAGATGTTCCCAATTCTCTTGACTTAGACCTGGTATTGGTCATCTAATCTCTTTTTAGTCTGGCCACTGTAGGATCTGCTTGGAGATTATTGCCCATTAAACTTACAGGGACCTGACCAGGGCTGCATGATGTAGTCAGTGTAGCATTCAAGCACACACAGTAATTATTACATTGTAACCAGTACAAAACCACAACTTGACATACCCGTAAGTCACATTTTCATATCTTTATTTTAACCAGTTACAGGTCTCAAAAAATACAAATTAAACAGCTACAAAGAAGAAATTTCTTAATTACACGACAATCTATTACATGACATACTACTATACAGATAACGTAGTTAAGTAAAATACCTTTTTTTCTCACAAGCTCGTATCTGTGCTAAATGTACCTTGCTATGAACAACACAATTTACAAGGTCGAGGCACTGATATGACACTAAATTAAAACTTCTTTCTACTCCAGAAGTATATAATTATCATCTGCACACATTACTCTTCCAGAGATTATTTCATACTAATTGCTTAAAATTGCTTTATGTTACTGTCATTGTAATAGCTGTCCTTTCTGATTGCACTGAGATGTTTCTTTGCCTCGTTTTTAGTAAATGGCCTCACACTGTACCATAAAAATCAAGGCTCTTGTATGTATTTCAATTTCTTTTGTCCAGTATAGGCTGGCTGTATAATAGATCATTAAAGAAATACTACGTTGTAGAGTTACTTTAATATGAAACCACACTAAATTAAAAATTCTTGCTACTCCAGTAGTATATATCATCTGCACACATTACTTTAATATGAAACCACATTGTTAACCCGTTAATCAAAGTTGTGGTGACACAATCATTGCTTGAAGTGGGACAGAGAAACAATGAACCAACTTTTGTGAATAATCCAGCATAAACATTTCCCTTTTCCCACATACTATTACTAGAGGCACTCAAGCATTTTGGTCCACTGTCATAATGTCTTTACTATAATGATTTCAGATGCAGCGGTTTCTGGTGTATCTACCAAAATCAGGCCTGCCGTGGTACTTGGATGACTAAAATTTGATGTACATGTGAAGAGGTTTTGATTTACTTTTTGTTACAACATTCTACTGAAGTTGTTACACGGTTAGGACAGTACCAGGATCATAGACAAGGATAAAAGGTAACTAAGTAGCATGCTTAAGCTTATTGAAAAAGTTCTGCGAGAAAGTCTGCCATTTCATTTTTACCCTTCATTCTTCTCTTCTGTGGACTCATCTATACATACAATATCTGTATTGTATCAGCAATGTCACATAGAGAGGAACAGACCTAGACAAAACTCAGAACTATTTTGCATAGTAAGATAAGGCAGTAAGACATTGTATAAGGTACAGAAACATCTTTTGTTTTGCTTCTGGCATTTCTCATTCCTAATGCTGGGGGGACCGGGCAAAGACAATTCTACATTTTGTGTAAACATGTGAATAATTCATTTGCTAGTCCTACATCACTTTAAGGAAGTGAAACTGAATCTTATAATATATATATCACACAATCAGAGTATTAAAAAATTGAGGTTACATAATATATATCACAAAACCTGTACCAAAAATTGCTCATGTACACTATATAATTATTAAGGTGGCATTATAAAGGAAGATAATGATATCCTTTTCATAAAACTTTTCAGCAGCATTTTTATATAGTATATATACCTTGAGACTCTTTTCAATGCCAAATTTAGGACACCCCAAGGATTGGCATTTTTCTATTCTGTGACATCAGCATCCCTTAACTTGACACCTTACAATGACATCAAGTGGTTTTCTACACAAACAAACAAACAATACACACTAACATTATGGCCATCTACTACATTGCTAATGATTGAAAAACTTGGATATGATATTTCTTACTAATGAGTACATTTAAATTCTTTAAAAAAGATAACAAAACCTCCCCCAAATGCATTTACTGTAATTTTCTTCTCTAAAAGGTGACATTGGAAATTATGTACATTACATGTGTATATGTAGTGCATTTAAGAATGTAAAATACATAATATTATGCTATGACTACAATATTCTACCCTGTAACCAAATTTAAGAAGTTATAATGTACACAGAAACAGAAAACAGTGAGTGACTCAGCTTTCATGCTTACAGGGATAAAATGTTTAAATTAGTCAACAGTAGATGTACAGATCGACATCTCACACATGACTTCAATTTCCAGAACCAAATTTTGGATTGTCTATTGCTATTCTCCTTGGACATTCAGAAGCTGTAATTTGAAAATATTTGCTCAAACATCATCCCACAACATTTGATGTTATCTTCTCAGTGATATTTCACTGATCTTAAGTTAGCTTCCTATTGTCATCATGAGGCAAGAAAATAAGATACAACTGTACTAGTAACTTGTTTTGGACTGTTTGTCCTGTTTGAATGTCTGAGAGCGAGCTGCCGACAGAACACAGACAGAATGAGATGCAACTGCATAACAGTGTTGTCAAGATGTATGAAGCTGCCAAAATGTAGAGGGAGAAAAGTGTTGTTCCCACTTTCTATCATGGCCATCCCTCCAGCCAAGTGGTACTGCCCGTCTCTCTGTCCAGCCTGACCATCTCCTGGACCAGTCCATTTGCACACCAGGGGGAAACAAAGCAGAGCATGAAGCTGTAGATGCTACAGATGCTGAGGGGACTAGGAGTAGAAGGTAAGGACACTCTGTTGGTTCCCCCTCATCATGAGGACAGGTGGCAGGTCCTTGGACAGTATCTCCAGCCAGGCCATGTACATCACTGTGGACACCACACCTCTCCTGGGCATGGGTAATGTGCTGCACACAACAACAAGGCAATGTTACTACAACATTTGCTATAAGCAAAGCACAATCATCTACTACACTGTGCAAAACACTCCTACATGAAAGCTGTGCACTAGTGTATGTTCTAAATGTTGTTTATTCCCTATATGTTCTGTTTGCAGTGCGTGGGTCATCAATGCATGAATGCACTTACATGACAATGAGGGAGGCATCCTTGGAATGTTCCTGTAGCAGCTCACGAAGACGCAGATGTCTATTCACCTACAGGACATAAACAATTCAACAATTTATTGACACAACCTTGGACAATCTAGGACATCCTAAAAGGTAACCATCAATAATGCCAGCAAATTTTGTTCTGCTTGAAGGGCATTGTCCTGTTCTTCATGTATCTGACTCATTTTTGATTACGATGACCATCAAATGGTGACTTGTGTAGAGTGCATAGATACATGTAGTGCAGTGATTTTAAGAAGTTGGGAGTTCAAGTCTCAGCCGTTGTTGCTCACCCCGACTTGCACTTCCCGGAAAGGGTCACAGTTCTTATAAGGACGTTAAGCTGTGGTCCAATGTTACTGGTAATGGTACTTGTCAGGAAGAGCTAAGGGAACTTCCCTGGTGCGATAAAAGTTTATATATATATATACATGTAGCATCTATCTTCTCTGTCACGATCAGTGTAAGATTCACTTACCCTGTCTCGGACAGTCTCGTATTCATCGTCGGAGATCTTCTCAGGGTACTGTTCCCGCAGCCGGCGGCCCTCGTCTGACTCAAACTGGTGTTCCTTCAGCCTCCACAGGTCAATCAGGTTCTCAAACTCACTCTTACTGTAAGGAACAGACATGATACATGGGTTGTCTTCTGTATTCTCTTGGTTATCAGTCAGACGAAATGTGATTGGACAAATGTACATGTAGGTGCCTTTAAGCAGTGAAAGCAAGTCACAAGCACTTCCAGCACTGGTACAAGTTGCATTGGTATAACCTGCACTTGACCAATCTCCAAGGATCAGTGAGGGAACATGTAAACATCAGAAATACCTGGCCGTGCACAATTCCAAAATTTACACTAAGCTGCATTATGCTGATGGTATTTTGAGCCCTGTCTACATACTTATGTATGACTACACGAAAGAAAATTAGAGAGAGTGAACTATCTTACCTGCTCTCCCTGGGTTTGTAGTTCATGTCTCCCAGCACATACACATCATGGACATCTATACGAAACTTGGACAGTAAAGCAGCCATCCTGGACGGCCAGAAATACATGGGTTACCATTTTAGACTTTTTCATTGTTTATTATAATATTATAATGTTTTACATGCATCTTGCAAAACAAGTTACATGTAAAGAGCACCTTCCACCTGTGATTATATCAACAGTTACTTACATTCTTCTGTCGTGGTCAATTCGAGACTTCTTGCCGCCAGTAAAGACCCGCAGCTTGCAGTGTTTCCACTGGGACTTCAGAGAGAGGAGGTGGGGAACAAGCAGTGTCAGACCTGGGAGGAAACATCACAATACTTATTTATGTGTTCTTTAATCAGGGTCGCACTCTCAAGGTATAGGCACCCCTTTTCAGAGTGTCCCTGGATACATTACAAACAATGCAACAATAGATGAGAGGAAACATGATATGATTTGTTTACCTCCATCATCAAACAGCCACCACACGTCGATGGTGCCCTTCTTCTGCTTGTTCTGGAAGATGTTGGCGGTCTTAAACTTGCTCATGTCGACGTCCTTCAGGATGTTGGCCTCGTCGCCCTTGTGGATACAGAGGTGGTGGTCGTCGCCCTCCCCGCCCTCGTCCCCGCTGTCCTGCGCCATGTTCTCCACGCTCGCCGCCAGCGGGGTCGTTTCCAGCTCGTGCTCAGGGATCTCCGCCGGCGTGCGGTGGGGCAGCGTGGGCGAGTCATGAGGAGAGGATTGTGCCGATGATGCCATGGAGCCCGCCTTGCTGTCCTCCCTCGGTAGGTCTACAATAGTGGGTGGGGGGGAATACAATGTAGATGAATCCAGGTATGAATATATTCAATAAATAAAAAAATACACGTAGGTCAAACAACTGTAGAGACCCTATTGCAAAAATGTAAGTTAGTGAACTTTTTTTTCCCTCCCTGAAAAAAAAATATAGGAAGGGGTGGAAAAAATTTGCTATTATAAGCCTGGTGTTTCTAAAAATATACATGTAAGTGTGCATGAACATTGCATTACAGACAGGCTTCAAAACAGGACCGTCTCTCACACAAGTAACACCACAAGACAAGATGAGGCAAAACAGTTACTAACTCAGTAACTGTAAAACACAACACAACCGTGACAACACAACACAACATCCATAATAAGAACAACAGCAGAGCATGTCACCTTGAGTGGAGTTATCAGGACTGGAGCAAGTGTCAATGATAACCACAGCAGAGCCATTGCAGACAGGGGGAAGGCAGTGGAGGTTCTAACACACACACACACCAGAGCAGAGTGAGGGAGGAGACAGCACAGAAAAACACATACTGGGTAAACTACATGGAACAGCACCTGCTTGGCTGGACTATTTCTAAGCAAAGAAACTCTAGTTATCTAGTATTAAAATCTCAAAACTTACACTTATCTGAATGTTATTTTGACGGTGATGTCAACTTAGTGAGAAAACTATGCCAAGCTATCAAGTGAATATTTCATGCATTAAAATGTAATGTTCTAATCATAATTACTAGTAGGTAATCTGAATTATATCAACATTTAATTTACATTGCACAGTAAAAAAAACACTGAAATCAAGATTAAAAGTTATATATCATACAAGGTTAGGAGGTTACATGTACATCCCTAGTAGTACTACATGTATGTTACAAACATGTTATGTTCTGATAACCCAACTTACATGTATGTTCCGACAACCCTAACTGTCATGTATGTTAGAGCGCAGGGGTGTTAGAACATAGGGGGTGTCCCTGTCAATAATATGGAATCCAAAAGAAACAAAACAACACAGTGTCTTTTTTCTGGAGACAAGTTGTAGACATACAAAGGTGGCTATTTCAGAGGAATCAGATTCTGAAGATCTTAAATGTCTGAAAATTCTTGCGTTATGATCCACTGAAATGCAAAATAGGGACACCAACACAGCGATGACGTCACATGGAAACACTGCAGGTACATGAAGCCTGCTATCACCTGTAAGCAGGATGCTAGCTGAAGGTGAGCCACTAAAGGCAGCAGAGCCTACAGACATGGGAGAGACCTTGTAGAAGTCTGTTGGGGAAAACAGCAAGGGGCAGAGTAGTGGCAAGCCTTAACATGTGCATGATGAAGTTATAACATGTGCAACAAGCTCACAGGCAGATAGTTAGCATCTTCCTTTCATGTGTGCACAATGTATGGTGATGTACCTATGACAGGACAGAATGAAATTCATTTGCAACAGGCATGACAACACTTACACATTCATGCTTTTGTATAAGCCCCTCTCAAAGGTTTCGTTTTTAGGCCAGGCCAGAAATTAGCAGAGGCCATTAAATGTTAAGAGGATGTAGGAAGTCCACTTAGTTTAGTCAATACCTACCTAATGATGTTTACATAATATTAATACACAAAAAATTGTACCTATAGTGACATGTAGGTCTGTGTCACATACAATCACATACATGACAATGTACATTTTGTATAGAATCAGACAAACACAACACAACAGTCTGTATTCTATGTGCAAAGTAAAAAGATCTGAGAATATACATTGTAGGTGGACAAAAGGAGTGTTCTGAAAGGAATGGTGAGTTTAAACAATGTCTCAAATATAGTCATTAAACTTGAATGGAAAACAAAGGGTACAATCAAAATATTCACATGTACATACATTGTATTCATATAATAATTGGCATTCATTATGTACTACTGATGGTACAAGAGACTATATCTTTTTATGTTGTCTGTTGATCCAAATCCAGAACACAAAAGCAAAAAATACACCATAGCCATGAAACTGCATGATGTAGAGAACTGTGGTGAAAATAAAAGTTAATAACATGAAAAAGACAACTGTTCAGTCATTATTAGTTCACCTTGCGGCTGAAACATGGGTGAGCTCCCTGAAAACGCAGCGGCACCACTCGACCAAAAGGAGGTCCTGGAGGTGGCTGTTAAAGCCAGGCAGCATGCGAGGGGAGGAGAGACAGGCAAACTGTTAGCTGTTGTACTGTTGATATCATTTTGATTGTGCTGAATGCATGTCAGGTGGTACAATGCCTGCAAGGAGGAAAGGTGTTGTGAAATGTTAAAACTATACTGTGCACCGATGTACACGACAATCCATTTAACTTATGCTCATTATGCTCATTACCCTCCCCAGGGCCCTAATGTTTTGAACTTGACAAAATAGCCTTTTTTTTATATGATGTCAACTCAGTGTGGAATTCAAGAAATGGAATATATTAAGAAAATGCACAAAGCATTAGCAGTGGAAATCACATACTTGTGGCACTTGGTTTGGGTTCTACTATGCATAAAAAGCAAGACTTTTTTTAGAAATGCCAAAAGCAATTGTGTACTTGTAGATTGCAGATTATATCTATGAGATATGTGTGCTGATAACAATAACTGTATTGCTCAAGAATTGTAAAATAATGTTTCAGATACAAATTCTGGAAACTAATTTACTCCCCAAAAGACTATGTGTCTAATACCGGATGAAACTACATGTATTTTGTACAAATGTATGTCTTTGATGGAATTTGGAACTATAGGCTCTCTAATTTTAAATTGTGTACATGCACTGTACATGTACTGCCCTATATCTACAGTGCATTGATTTTTACATGCCCATATGTACTTATTGGTGAAGATAAAGATGATTTTGTTTCCCTCCTGTACCTGTTCCTGATAAGTTAGTGTGAGATGGAGTAGTGATGAGAAAGGTGGGTGGGAGGATAGCACCTGTACCATGCCTTGGAGGAGGAAAGAAAGCTTCTGAAAGACAGGAGACAGAGTACACAAGACAAGAAGAGGAGAAAGGAAGAACATGCACAGTTACAACGAAAACAAGAACACAAGACAATGTACTCGTCATAACAACCCATGATATTAAACTTCACATCACGGAAAAGAGAGGTGATAGAAAAAGGAAGATCTTAGAAGGGAGCATGTCGGCAGAACGTACTGCACCTGTGCAAAATACATAATATAGAAGACATATTTATCATGATAATCATATAGCACTTGGGCAGAAATTCAGAACGTATGTTACGTCAGAAAAGATATCGTCTGCCCGAGGTAAAATTCTGATGCAACAATGACCATATATCCTACGAATACTGTATGAATGCAGTACGTTCAGCCAACGTGCTTTACAAGGGTTACTTTGTTACCGTCTCAGCTGGAAAAGGCTTTAAGAATGCTTTAGTTTCAGAATCCCAGACTCACCACTTGCTATTGTCAGCTGGACAGAGTCAGGTGTAGAAGACACTGTGTTGCCTTCTGTTGGCCCGTTGGTGTTGGGAAGCTCCAGGGTGGTCGGCTTCTTCTCAGCTGGAAGGAAGATGAGAAACATCCATGTGCTTTACATAAATTTTCACAAATCTGGGAAAAAATCTGCCGTGCTGCTGTCAGACAAAGCGGGCTGCTAGGGTGTGTTCTACATGTTCTCACTTCTGACACCTGAACCAGGACAGCTGAAGGGTGACACAGGAAGGGACCAGGAAAGCATGGACCTATCTCCACTTATGAGGATGGAAAGCAATCTCAAAAAACGAGGCCTGATGCTTGGAAGAACGCTGTTGTTGAAACTGCCAGCAAAGAAACCGTTAAATGCCCAAAAAATCTACAAATCTACCTGGCACTGAGTGCAGCAGATGTCTGCTCAATCATTTGGGACAGCCTGAAAATTAATGATGGTTACTTTGAAGACAAAGCAAAACTTCTGCAGCAATTTCTGTGCAAGCACTGGAGATCAGTTGCATTTTGCTGTCATCTTGCTTGCTGCATGAAGATTCAACAAACATTGATTGCTACACAGCAGCGCAATTGAACAGAAAAGGTGGCAAACAGATGGCTTACAAATTTTGCAAAGCCACCACTACTCAAATGATTACCATCTAAATGGTAAGTGAGCAACAATAATGGCATTTTCTTTCATTTCCAATTTCCTTGCATGGATACAATATAGGGCAGGGCTTTTCTATAGTTGTATTATAGTTAGAATGCTTAAAATTGACAGAATCAAAATGATTTGAATGATATTGGCAATATTTTGAACATATAATAAAACAATTACATGATTCCAAATCAAAAAGTGCTTGACAAAATCACTCAAACTTTAGCAAGCAGAAACAATTACAGTTCTAAAATAAAGCTAAATCATAGAAAAACATTTTTCTTTCTCCATTGAAAACTGCTGGGCTTTATCAACTTTGCAACCAAATCAATGATTTTTGCAGAAGACCTTTTCATTTTAAAGCATGAATTTGTCCATTATAACAGCGAGAAGGATGGGTAAATTAAACCCTGGTGAGAACCACAGAAACGGTCCTTACTGTTTACACTATGGGAGGGTCTCCCTAGGCCACTGGCACGAGGGATGGTCATTCTGTCTGTAAGGAGAGTTCTTGATAAAGGAACATGCAACAACACACAGTAAAGTACACAGAACCAAACGTCAATCATTCTAAAGCATGCTATTCTGTCACAATATACATTCAGCAGCAAATTACACATGACATCAGCAATTCTCCTATGTACCCAAGAACAACATTTCACTGTATTTACTATCTATAGTTGTAAATTGTACAGTTGTGTCCATAAAAAAAATAAAGTTTACACATGAAATGCAGCCTTACCTTTCTTGGTCTCGATGGTTGAGATGTCCAGACCTCCCTTCATCCTCAGCACACACACACCATAGTTCATGTCAAAGGCATCACTACACAACACAAAACAACAGGTCAGCATGAGTAACCTTAATTCCAAGTGTGCCAGCCACAGACAAATATGTTACACAACTGTTACCATTAGCCTAAGAAATAAAGAAATAATCTGTTCATTCTACAGTTTAAAACAGTAAAAGCAAGACTGTGACATACTGTATGACGCCGACATAGTCATCTATCTCCTCGTACGTGCAGCTTCTCCAGTTGTGCTTGTACCCCATCAGGATGGAGTTGGGCCTCATCTTACCCATCCCAGTCAGCTGTACAGGAGGGAAGACAAGCAGAACTAGATAATTATCATGTTTGCTCATGCTTTCTCTTACAGGACTATTTTTTCCTGCAGACCTGCACTGGTGCATGTAACATATTTTTCACACCCAATTTTGTCCTGGGAAAAATGAATGTCTAGTACAAAGATTTCAAAAAACGTAGTTACCGGTACAGTAAATACGCTAAGTTATTCATTGATTTCTTAACATCTCTTAGATATCAAGCAAAATTGTGTAATGAAATTTAGATATAACATGTAACCTGTAACATGCTCTGTACTCCTGTCCTCAGGTTGGGAGAACACACCACAGATGTGAAGCCTTTCACCTGAAAATAACACAAAAAGGGGTATTGCATAATGATAAGAAAAATGGAGGGGGGAACTGTACCATCATGATCATTGTTGTCATAATAACCTTAGCATGAAAGTTCATCTGAGTTGGTAAAATACATTTATGAGAAACTTTAAACTATTTTCCAACTCAAAGCAAAACCAAAATTTTTGAGAGAGTAACTGAGGCAATTCAGTTGAGACCAAGTGATTCAGTTGAGCATTTCGGTAATTCGAGTTGGAGAACAGTTCGTAAAATTTCCTACCTTCCTCTTCTGCATCCACTTGTTCTCCTTCTGAGAGGTACATTTCCTGATGTTGGCCTGTGTCAGGTCACCCAGGATCACCTGTCCACAGACCATCAGCCCGACCTCCTTGGTGATGTGAGACCCAAGATCTACTAGCGGGGGTCTGGAAAAACAGCAGAACAAAATACTGAATGTTCAGTGGAACTGGAGTTGAAAATGTACAAACTCCGAGCAGAAATTGACAATTTTATTACAAACAAGTTCCCTTTTTGTGGAAGAACCCCTCCCTTGACAGGCTCCAGTACGAAGATAAAAATTCAAGACCAGGGCTCGAAATACCACCTGCAAATGCAGGTTAGTGCAGGTATACAGAAAAAGTACTTATCTTCAAGGCCAAATATTAAAGATAAATGTCTGAGACTGAGTAGAGTACCTGTGGTGGGGTGCTCCAGTCAGCACTAGGAGCTGTGGGCGGTACGTCTTGATGTGATCTCCCACAGAACCCAGCTTCAGGGTGGCCTTCAGGGCGTCTGTGTACATCTGAGCCTGAGCAGAGGAGCCCCAGTTCACGTCTACAAGGGGCATATAACACAGTCAACAGTCGGCCACCTGCGTGTCCCAAATCATCTAGATCCCTATAACTTAATCATACACTATAAATCAAAGAAATCTGTCAAAACCACCAGCGAACACACACAAACACGACTGAAAACAGTACATGTACCTTCCCACAGAAGGAACAAGCAACACAAAACTGGGCTGACCTGGTTTCTGGTAGTTGAGATAGACGTAGATGGCACAGATGACTCCCAGGGTGATGAGGGCCATGTACCAGTTGATGACAAACATGATGGCCAGACAGACCAGGGATCCTACCAGAGCCACCCACATGTTGTAGTACTTAAAGGATGGCCTCCAGCCTGGAGTAACAATATGGGAAATTCTGGTGGTCAGTATGATGGGCTGGGTCATCAACCTGGCTACAATCAGACTTGGTTCAGGAAGTTGTTTGGAAGTAAAATTTGTCTGGTAATTTTCAAATAGCAGAAAAAGTATTTTGAGCCCTTTGAACCTTCTACAAAGAGCAGTGACTTACCTGGAGAACTGGCCAGGGATGAGGCGAAGCAAGCGTAGTTGATGAGAGCGTACGCCATCAGGAAGAAGTTAGAGATGAGAGGAGCGATGGCGTTCAGCTCCGCTGTGCATGGGGAGGGAAAAACAAACTGTTATCATCTTCATATGCTGAGTTTAAAACAAATCCTTTCAATACACAAACCGCCTAACATTGTGAAAGTGCAGTCTTGAAAGACATCTAATGCAATGATTACCTAATCCTGGGCCTCCTAGCAGTGTGGATGTCTCCACTAATTCAGAAAGACTGGCAGTAAAAAGAACTGGACTTGTGGAACACCACACAAAGTGTGCTGATAATGCAGTGGTTTGAAACCACAAAGCATGGATCAATAATCATACCGAATGGTTCAATACCAGAAACCACAGATCATCAATACAAGGTGGTTTTATACCATTAACTGGAATTACCTGCATACGGAATGATTTCACACCACAAGGCATAGCTTTAACCTTCTCCTTGCTGCCTAACCACAAAGCCAATACGAATTTGGTGAAAATTTGGTACCTTAGCATGCTGAAGATTACTGGTACAGTAGAGTTAATGTGTGAGAAGTCTGTGATGAACTCTGACCTACCAATGAGGATGAACCCAACAGCAATGACAAAGGCCAGCAGATACCCCCGTCTGGGCTCATCACTCTGGCCAACTCCCTTGGCAAAGATGTGGATCCCAGGGAACAATTTGTCCTTACAAACAGCCTGGAGGACACAAAAAGCTATACATCTAATTTTTGCATTGCAAACATACCCTCAACAATGACAGGGGGCATCACAGGCTTTCTCCAAGCTATGGTTACATGTATGCCTGTCAGCTGCACGTGACATCACAGAAGCAGTGGATTGCTCATTCCTTGACAAAGACTGGAGTTGTTGTACATTCAAAAATTTTAATTTGTTGCATTGGAAGTTCAACCTTCATACTACATGTATCTATCTGTTGTACTAACCTGGAAGACCTTGGGAGCGCTCACCAGGCTGGCCAGTGCAGAGGAGAGCGTAGCTGCGAAGATACCTGCAGTCACGATCGGGCCAAAACCTGACACCATCTCCATCACCTGCACAATGGCACCAAGGCCAGCAGAAATCATCATGTTTATCTTTTTAGGACTTCTTTGTTGTTTACTTTGATTGACGGTTCATTAGACTTTGATTGAAGGTTCATCAGACTATGATAAATCCATTAAAGAGCTGACATAGAATAATTTGAATGTGTTTCACGTCCGTTAGAAGTGTTACTTTCAGAAATTCAAATACCGAATTTGGGTACATTTTGCATTGTGCGCATGTGTTTTATAGGGTGGATAGGACATAAATAAAATACAACGTGGTGTACTCCACATCGACCTCTGTCCCATTCATCCCGTGGGTCAGATCTCCTGCCTTTAATGCCATTGGGTAATCCGATCTGTGGTCAAGCTGGAACCATCTCTCGCTAGGGATGAAGAGGATAAGTACATGTACATGTACAGTAAATAAGTACCTGCTTGTTATTGAGGAGGCCGTAGTAACAGCCCCCCTCTGGACACACGGAGATGCCGTCTATGAGCTGCCTGACAGACGGGGGTCCGGTGAAGTTGGCGGGCGCAGTACCGTTACCGATGACGTCACCATACAGGAGACTGATGACGGTGCCGTTCCCGCTGGCGTCCCTGATGACACAGGCACCGGCAGACCAGGCCGCACCCAGGTACACGATGGTGCTGATCAGGATGGCCAGCAGGGTGCCCTTTGGGATGGCAGTACTCGGATCCTGGAGGACATATATTACATGTATCACAATCATCTTATCTATCCCTTAGTCTAATCAATCGACTGTTGGGGCACCAAAGACGATCTGACAATCAGCTGTTTTCTCTACCCTTCTTGGTTTTCTGCTCTTATCATTTTACTTACAAATGTAGTGTCATGCTTGTCCATTCCCTGATATCATCATCCTCCCATCTTTTCCATTATATCTATTTTCTTCCTCCCTGGACTTTCCTTACATGATAGTTTTAACTAGTTGGTATAAGACAAATACAGTCAAACCTGTACAAGTGACCACCTGGCCAATGTGACCACTTTTAGGTGGTCCCTTGGATAACTTTTCCCATTGACACAAGCATTAAGAATTCTGCCTATATAATACAGTGACCACCTGTCCACAAAAACCAGGTGTTATCCCTGAGTGGTCTGTATAATACCTCTCCCTCATTCGACTGACTACCTACCGTTAAGTCCCCTGAGATGTTAGCCCCAGCCAGGATCCCTGTTGCAGCCGGGAAGAAGACAGAAAACACAGAAAAGAAGCTCTCCCCCTCTCGGAAATCTGGCACCCAATTTTCAGCAAATATTTCTCCTGAAATTAAAAAAAGCATATTTCTTGTAATGGCCATTTCTGTTTTACTTATAGGAGTATTATAACATGGTTTCCAACCACAACTTGGCTCAAATAGCAGGGCTCAAATACTTCTTTCTGCATACATACACACACATTAAGGTTTACATACCTTGGTAGTTTAAGAAGCCTTTGACATCTTGACCCTGGTGGCAGGAATGAAAGCTCCGATGAAGTAGTTAGAATAGCAACAACCAGGATCACCAGCAAACCCAGCTGGGCCTGAGGAGGGGGAAAAAACACCCTGTCAGAACTTCCAAAATCAAACACAGGTATACTGGATGGTGAATAACTTTTGGTATAACTGCCCTTTGGC